GCACCCTCGGGGCTAAGCCCCCGATCTCCTAGAATCCTAGATCCGCCCCTGCTCAGCAGGACCTTCAGAAACGACATCTGCTGAGGGACGAGCGTCCTGCCAGCGCCCGCTCCGATTGTCGCTGCGCTCGCACAGAACGCAGGAAACCGGCCAGCAGGCGTCGTCATCGGACCGACATCAGAGCGCCCAGCAGAGACAGATGTTTCGCCGTCACTGAGTCCGAAACTTCGCCAAACGACGACAAGGAGGAGGACGAGAAAAAAAAAAGGTTTCTGTCAACTGTCTGCGAATTTCAGCGCTGAGGCGAGAAGTCGTAAAAATGCCGATCAAAAAAAAAGTCAGAAATCATGTGTGTGTGTGTTTGTGTGTGTGTGTGTGTGTGTGTTTGTGTGTGTGGGGGGGGGGGGGGCAGAGAGGGAGAGGGAAGAGAGAGGATTTTTATGTTTGTAGTAAAAGTTCGTAAATTCTCGATCGGCTTCGTCAGGATTTTTAATCAATCACAAACAATCAGACCGAGTCAATCGCACACAGAGACACTCGGGTGGAGAAAAGGCGGAGCAGCAGGAATTCCTTCATGATCCTGCAGCAGATAATGTCAATCACCCCCCCCACACACACACACACACACACACACACACACACACACACACACACACACACACACACACAGTTTTCCTTCACCCCCCCCCCTCTGAGGTGTTAATTACCACATGAACAGACAACACCCCCCCCCCCCCCATCACCTGCTGACTCGGGGTCTTCGACACCTGAACTGAAGCTTCAGGACAGAGACGGCGTGATCATTAGGCCCCGCCCCCTCTCATTGTTAAAGGTTGTTACTCCGACAACACTCCGCTGTCATTCTGCTAATTAGTGTGTAATTGACAGGGAAACAGACCCACAATGCACTGCTGGGCCACAGCACAGCCTCCTGAATGGCGAGCGTGTCAGCAGATTAGTGAGCGAGGAAGTGACCAATCAGAGAGGAGCTGAACAGAGAGATGGTTAAAAACTGCGAGAGACGGAGGGACGAGGTTTCTTCACCTCCGACCTCTCAGACCCTCCTGGTCCATCAGACCGTCCTCTAAAGGACCCGGAGAGGTGGAGCCGGTCCTGCGTGGACGTGGCGTCCTGCGTGGACTTGGCGTCCTGCGTGGACGTGGCGTCCTGCGTGGACGTGGCGTCCTGCGTGGACATGGCGTCCTGCTAATGGCGTCCACATTTGAAGAGTCCATCAGCCCGTGGACCAATGAGGTTAAGTGACTCTGACAGCGGCGCTCTCTCCGTTATTGTCGCTCGCTCTTATTCACAGCCAGTGAAAAAACTGGGTCAAAGGTCAGACATCCAGAGTGCTGTGGTTTCCATGGTAACAGGGCCTATTAAGGCCAGGCTCATTGGCCTCTTTACATGTGCCTGAACACAAAAGGACTATTAGAGGGGGGGGGGGGGCGCTGCACACGGGAGGTCCAGGATTTCCAAGATGGCCGCCCCTCAGGCTGCAGCTCTGAACGACGGGGGGGGGGGGGGGGGGGGGGGGGGGGGGGGCGGGGGGGGGGGGGGGGGCGGGGGGGGGGGCGGGGTTTAAATTTCCTGTTCTAGTAAAAAGCAGCTGAAGGTCGCCGTGTCGTCCTGTCGTCACGGCGACACGTCGGCCTGAATCTTCTCCGTGTTTCAGTCCGTCTGTTTCAGGGTCGATTTTCTTCTTCTTCCTTTCTCTGACAGGATTCTGAGTTACTACTTCCTGTCTCCCGGCCCTGAGTGCGGTGGCGGTGGCGCTCAAATGTTGTTGTTTTTTTTAAGATGGTGGAGACGTTAAAGTTGGAAGAAGTGAGTAATTCTGCAGCAGCAGGTCGTTTAAACGTCGAATTAAAGACACGAGAAAATGATTATGAGGGCGGGTCTCATAAACTCAGAGCGGCGAGGGAGGGAGGGCGGGCGGCGAGCTCTTCGACTCAATTATCTGAACTCACTTCTGTGGTTTTCTGAACCTGCAGGTCCGTTTTGGACCAGGTCGGGGCGCCGGGCCTCCGGTCAGTCTGATCGGAGGTCAGGGCGAGCTGCACCTCCGAGTCAGAGCGCCGTCCTCCTCTGCGTCCTGTTTGTCCAGGAACACAGATGTTTATGGTCGGGGGAGTCGCCTCGTTTCACTGAGAGTCACGGCCGTAAACGTCCGTCTAATTAACTCCAGAGCGCCGGCGGTTAGCAGAACCTCACTGGATGTTTACTGTAAAAACGTAGGTGTTCACATGTCCCAGACAACGCCGCTGACACCCGAGTGAGAGCTGAGCTGGAGACGGCGAGGTTACCGATATAAAACGGCGTTTCCTGCCAAGACTTTAGGAGGCAGAAGAAGTCCAGCATGGACCCTCACACCGCAGCACGCTTACTCTCTGCAAAGACCCCAAAATAACCTCCAACTCCTCAGAAAATATTTACCCGACCCTCCGACAGCGTCTGCGTTTCTGACGGCGGCGGCGAGCACAGAGGCCGATTGTGAGACGTTTTTTTTTAAACATCCTAAAAGCAGCTGACAGCAGCGGAGGAGGCCACCAGAAATCTCAGAGGCAGAGCGTCAGTTCTTAAAACTGAGGTGGGCATGAGAGGGTGCAGCGGGGGCGGCGAGCAGGCGGCGGGCGAGCGAGCGAGCGAGCGAGGGAGAGAGAGAAAAAACGTCTAAATTAAACACATTTGTTTCTGCGCTCACATACCACAAGTCTTATGAAAACAGAGGGCTGATTGTGTTTCTGCAAGTCCACCCCTCCTCCGCTACACCCCCACCACCCTGTCCGAGCAGCACCACCCCCAACACACACACACACACACACACACACACACACACACACACACACACACACACACACACACACAGCTGCCTGCAGATGCCTCCTGTGTTTGCTCTCAGCTCTGCCTCATCTCAGATTTTACTACCTGACATCCCGATCACCAACTGCCCCCCCGCTCAGACCAAATGCACACACACACACACACACACACACACACACACACACACACACACACACACACACACACACACACACACACACCCTGCTGCTGAAATGAGACCTTCAGAGTCTGGAGAAACTCGATCGGAAACTAAAGTCGTCGTATCGGAGAACAAAGATAAATATAAACTTTTAAATCGTCTCTCAAACTTTATTTCTGGTTTCGTTGTTTAAAAAGAAAATATTCGGTGAGTTCGGATGAAAAACTCGCCGCCCTGCCATTGGTGGGGTTGGGTATGTGAGTTGGCGGTCTGGAGTTTGGCCAACGCTCTTTTCTACCTGAAGCGTTTGTAAAAGTCGTTCCCTCTGTGACGGACACGCTCGTAAATCTCTTCAGGGTTACCTCCTGTGATCGTCTCACACGTCCCAAACTTTGTTTGTGGTGAACGTGTGATTCAGGCTCTATGACTGGATGAAGAGGTTCAGAAAAGAGCAGAAACTCTGATTTCTGTTTCCGTCTGGATCAGTGATTTTATTCTGAAGCGGACGGCGCTCAGGGCCGACCTGCCGTTTTAAAGAATATATCCAGCTGCTGCGATCTTTCAGCTCCACTTCAGTCTAACGAGGACGGCGAGGTGATTACGATCTGGGGCTGCTGTAAATATCAAATTCCCAGGGACGGAGTTTAGGAGGCCCCGTACAATTACACAGTTTTCAGGAATGTGGAGCATGAACCACGCTGCAGACCGAGCGCTCACGTCCCACTTTGGAGCTCGATCCTGGAACACGTGACGGAGCGAGTTTACAGACAACAAGTTTCTCTTTCCTCCAGTTTTCTGCTCGCCTTAAATCTGCCCCACAAAACGACAAACTCCTCCACCGTCCGACGAGAAAACTGCTGCAAACAATTAGAGTTCACCCCAGAACTGTAAGCTGCTCAGAGAGGGGGAGAACGGGGGAGAACGGGGGAGAGCAGAGGGGGAGGGAGGGCCTGCAGAGAGAGGGCTGCTTGTGCACAATTACAGCAGGGATTTATGGCCTGAGAAACAATTTATAAATCACAGCGCCTGAGCTAATGTGCTCCAGATTGTTCTCCATGCAGCTGCAATTGTGGTCTGCGTGAAGCAGCATAATAAAGCTGGCTGGAGGACATGTTTGGGTGGTGCTGCTGCTGCTGCTGGAGGGAGGAAAGCTGAGATTGTGGGTGGTGGCTGACGGGGGAAAGGTCGTGAAAGGCCTGAAGTTTGGGAGGTGTTTCAAACAAAGGAAACGGTTTAATTCAGACTTTTGGAAACGATCAAAGTGACGATTTTTACACTTTTCACTGAAAATGGAAAAAATAAAAAATAAAAAGTTAAAGTGAAACTCGGCGTCTCGTTCTGACCGTCAAATACCACAAATGTTGATCCCTCCGTCACAGCGGCGGGCGGGAGCGGACGCGGCGATCGGATGTGCGGAGGGATAGCCTGAGCTTTTGTGGCCACTCAGCCAACTGGCCCTGAACCTTGACCTCCGACCCTTCACCCCGGGGGGCAAACAAAGCTCTGAGTGACATCTGAAACTAGACACTCAGTGGGGAGAGAGTGTCTGGACCCGTTAACTCTGCCGAGACGAAGATTTACGGCTTTTCAGCTCCGAACTGAAGAGTCCGAAATAAGAGAGGTGTGTGTGTGTGTGTGTGTGTGTGTGTGTGTGTGTGTGTGTGTGTGTGTGTGTGTGTGTGTGTGTGTGTGTGTGTGTGTGTGTGTGTGTGTGTGTGAGTGTGTGTGTGTGTGTGTGTGTGTGTGTGTGTGTGTCAAACGTCACATCATTTAAAGGCTGGCGTGGAGCTGTAATGAGCGCGGACACAAACATGCCAGCAGTTAGCCTGATCCCGTCTTCTTAAAACGACCACGTTCATGTTCACGGCTCCGCTCACGGTTACGTCAGCGGCCCGGCATTATCGTGGCGTAAACACAAACAGAGAGGAGTTGAAGGTAAATGTGGCGTGCTGAATGCGAGCCTCGGTGGCTGAATGCTGAACGCCGGCGTAGTATTTAAATCAGGCGAGGAGGGAGGAAGACTCGGCCAAGCTTTCTGCAGCTCAGCTGTGAGGCTCTAAGCCGCTGCCCTCGCTCTTTGTCCTCCCTTTCAGGGCGAGTCTGAGGTAGTCAAAGACCCCATTCATGACCGGCGCTCCCCCTGCCAACGCACCCATACAGCCCCAGTCAAGTCAGCCGAGAGCTATAGAGCCGTCCCGTTTCACACGAGAATCAGACCTGCCCCTAAAGCTGCTCCAGGGATTTCCAAAAGCCAGCGTTCAGACCCAACAAAGGCTCCACGGCCTCTTCGCCATCATATAAGGTTGATCAGATCCTTTTTCCTCATGTCCACGCTCTCGTTCGGAGCGGAGAAGTCAGGCGCATTTACAGGGATTTGGTACCGCGCCAAGGAGAGCGTGAGGTGTGGCGCTGCCAACTGACACGCTGCCATTCATCATCAGATCCCAGAAATTTACAGAACCAGAGCGAAGCCAAACCTGCGAACATCAAGTGATGAACTCGGCATACAAAGAAACCTTATCTTCCTCCGATCAGCTGATTCAGGGGAATCCCGCCGACGCTAAAGAGCGTCTCGTGTCTGAGGAGCACAAGGCTTCAAACCGCCGCTGACACGGGCCGGCCCAGAAGATTCGTTCATCGTTTTACAGCGAAGGTGGATAAAAAGTCAAAAACCGTCAGATCTGCTCCGTCAGGAGTCGGCGCTGAATGTTCTGAGGGTCCGATCCAAAAACCCGGTTCAGATAAAGAGGCTCTTCAGACGACTCGGGCCCTTCCTCGGCTCTAATCCAATCAGCCGCTCCGAGGAACATTGTGACTCCTTAACCAGCGTGATTGGTTTATGAGGGTAACTGGGGAAACTGGGGGCATCCAGAGGTGAAGTTCTCATCGCCATGACGACCATCAGCCTGATCTCATGGGAACATCATCAAACTGACGAACCGACGATTAAAACTTCGTTAAAAACTCGAACCTTCGACACGAAAAAGAAAGATCAGAAATAAACGGAGAATTCAAGAAACCAGAGAGACAAACTGAGAGTACAGGGGTCAGAGGTCAAACTCCGCAGACTAAACAAGTTTAACATCCCGACGACTTTTCAACCAACCTGAAAAAAAACAAAATCACAAAAGAGACAAAAGTCTGAGAGAAGAACGAAAGACGGAGAACTTTCCTCAGATTTACAGACAGACACCAGATCCAAACTGAAGCAGAATCTGACCGCAGGACCGACCGTCTTCACTTACAGATACACCACGATAAACCAGTCATCGATCAATCGGCTGTCAATCTTTGTTTTTCACCATCAGGAGGATAAAGTCGTATTTCAGCATAAACCTAAAGATGAAATATGAAACTGGAAACCATTAAAGCTGGTCACCGTCTCACTGGTTCAGATGGAGGAGGTCACACGTGTCTGCAGGTACAGTGTGTTGAGATGACATGCGTCTGTCAGGAGACACGAGTCCCCCAGTCGTCCACGGTTACAGGACAAACTCGGTGGGAAGCAGCCAAACTGATTTACAACCTGTGCTGGAAGAACAGCTGCTGCTGTCGGCGCGCCTCCTCCTGGACGGACGGAGGGACGGAGGGACGGAGGGACGGAGGGACGGATATCCATCCACCGCTTAATTTAGTACGACTACAACCTCCTGATCCCGACGCTCTGCAGAGCAGCAGGAACAGCGAAGGAGACAACGCCTGCATGAAAAAGAAAGAGCAAAGCATTGTGGTCCACGGAGAAGACGCGGCCCTCAGTAGAGACAGAGTCGAGAACCTCGAGGTCTGGACGAGGTCCCACCTCGGGAAAACAGGCAAAGGACTAACAGGACCAGGTCTGCAGCAGTTTCTGCTCCCACCACCACCACAAGATCTCTATAAACAATCTCTCTCCCCCTTTCCTCCCCCTTTCCTCCCCCTTTTCTCCCCCTTCGCCTCCCTCACTCGCTGCCTGCAGAGCTTAAACTGAAAACAGCTGCTTGGAATACCAGACCGATGAAACTCTGTTAGAGAGAGTTCGCTCTCTTCCTGCTGAACGGGCGAGTTTATGAGCGAGGAGAGAAACGCAGAAGGTACGAGGACGAGGACATCTATGAGAACAGGACATCTATGAGGACTGAGGACATCTATGAGGACTGAGGTCCAGACTGACGAGCATCTATGAGGACTGAGGACATCTATGAGAACAGGACATCTACGAGGGCTGAGGACATCTATGAGACCAGGACATCTATGAGGACTGAGGTCTACACTCATGGACATCTATGAGGACTGAGGTCTACACTCATGGACATCTATGAGGACTGAGGACATCTATGAGGACTGAGGACATCTATGAGGACTGAGGACATCTATGAGAACAGGACATCTATGAGGACTGAGGACATCTATGAGGACTGAGGACATCTATGAGAACAGGACATCTATGAGGACTGAGGACATCTATGAGGACTGAGGACATCTATGAGAACAGGACATCTATGAGGACTGAGGACATCTATGAGGACTGAGGACATCTATGAGGACTGAGGACATCTATGAGGACTGAGGTCTAGACTCATGGATCATGAATGTTCCTAAATTGTGAGAGTTCTAAGTCCACGTCAGCTGTTGTTCTGGAAAGACCTTCTTAATAAACACGCCGTTCACGCTGTTCACGCCGTTCACGCCGTCCGCCTCAACGACCACCTTTCTGTTTCATAGCATCACTCAGCCAATCAGCTTCCTGTCTGTAACTCAGAAAATTCTGGATCGGTGTAAACCGGATCAAACTGGACTAAACTGAACCAACAGAAACCAGACTGGACCGACCTTCTGAGAGCCGCGCTGAGTCAGCAGAATTTCAGGAGTGACAGAACCGGGTCGTTTTTATCCATCACTATGTTCTTCACTCTGCCTGATCAATACGTCTCCATGACGATGGGACTTTTCTGGAACTTGATTAAACTTTATTGGCACAGAGTCGATCAATATGAACCTCAGGACAGTTCCGTGGTCACCTGACTCTGAGCTCCGCCCTTTAAGAAGGGTTCGAGTCTCCGTCCTCACAGCTGTTTCTGCGTCATGAAGAGTTTCTGTTTTTATACCTGCAGACTTTAGTCGACGGGACAGACGAGCTAAAAACTCTCCAAAGATATTTGGAGGAGCACTCAGACCTTCAGCTACACGTCTGTCAGGAAGCAGAAACTCGTCAGCAGCTCGGGCCGAAGAGCTCGGATGAGAAAAACACATTAATTGATAAAAACACATTTGCACACGTCCTCGTCTCTCACTTCAAAAGGACTCACTGATGTCGCTGAGGAGACGCTGCTTCTCCTCAAAGGGTGCAGAGATGCTCCTGACGGCGGCTGAGCGAGGAGCCAGGGAGCGCTATAAACAGAATTTCTGATGGCGGGCGGCGAGTGGGTGGGTTTAGGTGGTGAACCAGCAGACGAGGAGTAACGGGAGGAACTGATGCCAGCTCCAGCTGTCCGCAGAGACCATCAGAGGAGGACTGACACGGTTTCTCAGAGTTACTGAGAACCAGAATCTGTCCATGAGAAACTTCAGCACAACGCCGAGCGACTGCAGACGAGAGCGACTTTACCGTAAACCTGCGAACTAAACCACGAAATATTCTCACAGCAGGTTCGACCTTTCACCTTTGAGGTCGTTATTTTACCGAAGCAGAAACTCTGAACGTGTTTCTTCAACGTTCAGATGTTTGAGGCGTTTCTTAGATTCACATGATTCACATAAAAAGAAGAAAAACATCCAAACTTCCTCTTTTTCAGTCGTTTTTTCTTCAGGTCAAAGTTCACTTTCCTTTTTTTTTTGTCTCTTCGATGTCAACAGAAGATCTTTGAAAACTTTCAGCACGAGGGAATTATATCGAACATGTTTCACAACTTTCTGACATTTTATCTCCTTCATGATTTAGTGAAATGATCTAAAGATGATTCAGGACCACAAACCATCCTCAGCTGCAAACACTGAATTTATCGTCTCACACCAGCGATGAAATCAGCTGTTTGTAACGAGACGTCCTGATTGGTCAATAACTTCACTGACTCTTAGATTTGTAAAGTTGTGTTGATGGATTACGATCAGTCCGCTCAGTAATTGGACAAAGCCTCTGAACCGAAGTGGAAAAACCAAAAACTGGGTCCGAAGTGGCGGTTCTGTTGACTCAGCGCTCTGCTGAGAAAATATTTGTGCGCTAACCTTCAGGAACAGTGAAGACTGTGAACGCAGCACACTGTTCCCTCTGTTGCAAAAGCCTCACCTGAGCCCCCCCCCCCTCCTGCACACACACACACACACACCCACTCACACAAACACACACACACTCGGCAGGGAGAGGCCCCTTTTCTTCGGCGGGACAATGTCGGTGTTGACTTTTTCTTTGTCTGCACATTTTTAAGCTGCAGAGAGAAAAGGACGTCAGGGAGGCGGCGGCGTCACGTACCGCCGCTGACATGTTCAGGCGTGTTCGACCCTCCGTTCATATCACAAACATTTTCTATTCAAGCATCAGGAGCTCGAGTTTGACCGTCTCCACCTCTCACACACATGAGGCATTTCTCTCTTTACTGACGGTGGTGATGATGATGATGATGATGATGCGGCGACGGCGGCAGCAGAGATGTGCTGATGAAGCTGATAAATGTTGGCGTCAAACTGGAGTGTGTGTTCACCAATTAAATCTGGCACCAGTCTGTCACTACGGGAACAACACGGCGATGATCACTTCAATGAGACGACAAACAACGAGCTGGAGGTCTCCTCGCTCGCTCTCTCGCTCTGTCCTCAGCAGGAGGAACTTCTCTGCTAACATCATCATGGAGGTCTGTCCTGTAAACACCGACGGACCGACTTCATGTTCTGATCCGGTTTCAATCAAACTCAGAACGACCCAAAGACCGAGACCTCCTCGACATTTCTCCTGTCAGTCGCTCTCTCTCTCACGGAGGACTTAAACGCCACACGAGTAAAACCACATACCACAGACTGATCTGTCAGTCCCAGCAGGCCTTCTGC